GGAGGAGGAGGAGGACGGGGAGCACGTGAGCGACGATCAAGAACGGGTCTTGCGCAAGATGGCATAGCGACCCTCCGCGGCGGCTTACGCGGATCGCCAGCGCGGCATGCTACATTGGAGACGAGGGCGCTTACGCGCGACCTTACGCGGGCAGCTTACGCGCCAACGTCGGCACAAACGAACCCGTTTCCTGGCATCGCTCCAGTGGGGAAACCAGAAGGTACCGATACCGCTACTCCCCGGACCTCTCCCGGGGTGCGCTCTGACCGGAACTTCGCGGCGAATCCAGCGGGGGCGACGAGGGCCTCCCAGGAGGCCCAGAAAGAGGAAAACGGGGGAGGGAAGGGCACAGTGCTGTCGGTACCTTCTGTTCTCTCCTCTGAGCAAGACCAGTTCGGGCATGTCCTCTTACAGGCACAGGCGGATTTGGGACGAAACATAAAGAAGTAGCAACCAAGGAATCCGAAGATGATAGAACACCCGTCCCCAGAACATGCTCTGACTGTTTTTGGCGCATCCCTCCTGCACACGAAGTGACACGCCCGACCTGAGTCGGGAGCGGCCAAGAGGGGGGTGTCCAAGAGGGGGGGGTGCAAATCATGACCGGCGGCACGTGCGCGGCCCAGCGGGGGGGCCTGGGACGCAATAAAATAAGAAGAGGCGCCATGAAATCTGAGGAAAAATCATGGCCCCCGCCATGAAATCCACCCCCCCCTAGTCATCACCCCCCTCTTTTCCGCCCCCGACCTGAGGAGCTGGAGCAGCAGCAGCAGCAGCGCAGCGGCCTCTAGCAGCCGCGCGGCGCGCGGCACCGCCTCAGCGCGGGCAGAGGGGCCGCCGCTCCCGGGCGCGGGCAGGCCGCGCGCGCGGGGTCACCTCGGGGGGGGAGGCGGGGCGGCCGAGCCCGGCGGGGCGGCCGAGGGGGGAGAAGGAGGAGGAGGGGGAGGAGGAGGAGGGGGAGGAGGAGGAGGAGGAGGAGGAGGAGGGGGAGGAGGAGGGGGAGGAGGAGGGGGAGGGAGGGGGAGGAGGAGGGGGAGGAGGAGAAGGGGAGGAGGAGGAGGGGCCCTGCGCGCGGGCCGCCCGCTGGAGGGGGAAGGCCACTGGACGCGTCCAGTCTCGGGGGAGAGACGCAGGAGAGGCGGAAGGGGACGGTCTATCCCAGGCCTGCTCGCGTCGCAAAAAAAAAATCCGGACGGCAAGCGTTCCACTATTTTCGAACCTCGGGGGCCCACGCCGACGTCGACGATGCGCCGCCGACGTCGCGGTGCATGGACGATGCATCGGCGATGCCGCCCCAGACAAGATCGCGTCGTGCAAAAATCAGGACTGGAAGTTCTTGGCCAATTTCGGCCTCAGGGGGCCCTCGCCGGGCCCCGGGGCCGCCAAAAAACGGCTCGGGAGGAAAACCCGGTCCCAGGGGAAGGGTCGGGACTTCCAGGGGCGCCGCCCCGACAAGGGGCCCCTGAGAGCCTGGCGTCGCAATGTCTTCGCAACAGGGGTGTTCGCTCCGTTTCGGGCCCCGAGACCCTCACGGGTCGATTCGGCTCGACAAATGGTGCAGAAAGATGCGGCTCCGGCTCTCTGGGCGTGATTTTTGCGGTGTTGTCATTTTGTCTGCAACGTCGGATCTCAGGGGAGGGGCAGAAGGTGACTGCCTTACCAGACCACCCCAACCCAACCCGAAGACCCAAATTTCGCTCGAATTCCGGGTTGGGGGGGGGGGGACGGGCTTCAGATGTGTTTCTGCAATGCCCCCCCCCCCCACACACACTGGAAATGGAGGGCAGATCGGGGCCCTTTGGGTTGGGTCGGGGTGGGTTGGTGGGCGGCGAGGAGGGGAAGGGCACGGCGGCGGCACCAGGCTCTGGCGATGCCGCGGGCGGGAAGCAGCTCCACATCCGCGGCCTCGCGGGCCGAGCCTCTGGGCCGCGACCCCGTGGGCACGGGGCGTGGTTTCGCGGATGCCCCGCGCGGAACACTGCCGTGCGACCGCGTCTCCACGAATCGCGCGCCCCAGGATCCCGAGCGAGGGAGTGGAACCGGGTACGGTCGGCGGTCGTGATGATCTACGGGGGACCGCCTTTCTGCAGCGTGCCGTTTGTCCGTTTGTCAGCGCACTGGCCTACGTTCCCTGGAAAGCTATAAGGACGAGGAGTCGTACTCAACGGTTTCAACTGTCGCTTGGGCCTACTGGAGGCGATCAGCCAGCGGTCCGCCACGCCAAAAGAAATGATTATCCAAGTGTTACTTCCAGTTAGATGCACCAGAAGCCAACTGAGGTCTATACCACACCACGCATTAAATACAAGCTGAATATATCAGTTTCCCACCGCCACGGGCACAAACAATTGGGTGCCCCTGCAAGCCAGTCTTGGCCCGGGCACACAGGCAAACCAGCGAAGAGACGAAGTGCCCTTCCACAACATTACGTTCAATGGTACGCGGTCTGGTTTTTGGAGCCCTTGGCGCACCAGTTTCCCGGCCCATTTGTACTGCTGTTTTCTCCAGGCTCGCACCAGCGATTCCACGCTGTACTGCTTCGTTATACGTTCGCAGCGGTGCATGTACTGAGCCAAGGCCTCGTGCCGAAGAGATGGGGTGCGAAGAATGTGCCGCACCATGCTAGGTTGCACACCATACATAAGCCTCGCTCCTGGCGCACGGGATAGGAAGAGAAAGCGGAAGGAGAGGCCTCTTTTGCACGCCCTGCGCTCCCCCCTCCTGCTCCTCCACCTCTTCCTCCTCCTCCTCCTCCTCCCCCTCCTCCTCATCCTTCTCCTCCTCCTCCTTCTCCTCCACCTCCTCCTCCTAAATACATAAATCCGCCTGTCCGGCGTGTGAGTTTCAGACAGCGTGGGCTTGAGCTCGCTCAAGCTTCGCTCTGGCAAGGGAGGGGGTCTGCCGACGGGCACCCCCGTGAACCCCGACGGAACCCCCAGGAACCCCTGGGAACCCCCCAGAACCCACGCCTGCAAAGACACGCATCCCAGGATCCTGGGGTCTCGGGGTTCCGCGGACTCGGGGGACCGGGGACAGGGGACGATCGGGGACCGAGGACCAGCCCGCGATGTCGGTCAGGAGGTGGTGAAGGAGATCCTCAGGGATGGGGTCGAAGGGGCGGGCTGGTGGGAAGGGGGTGGGGGGCACCAAGGTGCGGGCTCTCTGCTGCAGTTGAACACAAACCATGTCGAGGGCTAGGTTCACGTTCATTGGGCGTACTGGGCCAGGTTGGCATGTGCCAGGGACCGGGAGCAAGAACCAAAAACCGGGGACCGGGAACTGGGGACCGCGAACTCAGGACCGGGCACTGGGGACCGAGGCACTGGGGGCCAGAGGCCAGGGGCCAAAGGCTGGGGATCCCAAGGGCCCGGGACCAGGGACCGGGAACCTGCAGGGGCCAAACACCAGAGAACATGGAGACCGGGAATGGGGACCCGGGACCGGGCACCGGGCACCAGGGACCGGAGACCAGGATCCAGGGATCCCTGGAACCGTGCCATGGGGACCATGGGACCGGGCACCGGGCACCAGAGACCGGGACCAGGCTGGCCGCAAATACGGACTGGGGAACGGGGAGCAGTCACTGGGGACCGGGGAGCGGGGAGCGGAGACTGGGGAGCGGGGACCAGGGACGGGGGCTGGGGACCAGGGCCCGACGACGACGGCCAGACCTCCTCGTTTTTATCGTTGTCGTCACCGTCGTCGTCGTCGTCGTCGTCGTCGTCGTCGTCGTCGTCGTCGGCCCTCGCCCTCGACCATTGCTCACTGGCCATCCATTATCGTCGGCATAGTTGTCCGCCCATTCTCGTCGTCATCGCTCATTCGCAAAAGCCTCTGGAGCGCCCTGGGTCGACGTACATACAGACAGACAGACAGACAGACAGACAAGACAGACAGACAGACAGACAGACAGACAGACAGACATACATACAGACAGGCAGACAGCCAGACAGACATACATACATACATAATTGTATGCATGCATACATCCATCCATACATGCATAGGTACATACATCCATACATACAATTATACATACGTACATGTATACATTCAGATATAGATCCGTACATACATACATACATACATACATACATACATACATACATACATACATACATGCATGCATGCATGCATGCATGCATGCATGCATATGTACATACATACACGCAAGCATGCATACATACATACATGACCTTCCTACGTACCTGCCAACATACCAACCTACCTACCGACATATCTACATGCATGCGTACATGCATACATGCATGCATACACGCAGACATGTATGCATACATGTCATATATACTTGTATACATACATGTATGCATGCATACATACATCCACACATGCGCATATACATATGCACGCATACGTACACACGTACATACATACATACATACATACATACATACATACATACATACATACATGACACACATACATACATGCATACATACAGACAGCCAGGCATACCTGCATGCATGCACGCATGCATGCATACATACATGCATGCATACATACATACATATCTATATGCGTCCATACATACATGCATGCATGCATGCATATATTCGTGCCTACACAAACGCATACAACTGTTAATACAAGTATACATACATACATACCGACATATAGAGAGAGACAACCAGACAGACAAACAGACAGGCTGACTGACACACACATACATAGATATACGTACATACATGCATACGAACATGCATACATAAATACATGCATGCATCTATTATATACAAGCACGCATACACGCATGCATCCGGATATGTATATATACACTAGAATCACGCGCGCTTCGCGCGCTTAGGCTCTAGCAAACTCGGAGTAGGGTTGGAGAGCAGAGGGAGGAGAAAGAAAGGTAAAGAGGGTGGCGGGAGAGAGGCGGAAGCAGGACGAGAACGACGACGACGGAGGGGGCGACGACGAGGACGAGGAGGACGAGGACGAGAAGGCGAGGGGCTGGGCGGGGGGCGGAAGAAAGGGCGGCGCCAGACTGATGCAGGGCGCGGCGCGCGGGCGCGCGCCGCCAGCCCCGATCACAGGCCCTCCTCGTCGCTGGACGGCACCGCCAGCGCCGCGGCCTGCTCGGGGATCCGACGTCGCAGGGGGGACGAATAAACTGCCTGGAAAAGCACAAAAGGAAGAGGGGGAGGAGGAGGAAGAGGAGGAGGAGGAGGAGGAAGGAGGAGGAGGAGGAAAAGGAGGAGGAGGGGCTGGAGGAGGAGGAGGAGGGGGAGGAGGAGGGGAGGAGGAGGATGAGGGGCTGGAGGTGGAGGTGGAAGAGGAAAACGAGGAGGAGGAGGAGGAGGAGGAGGAGGAGGAGAAGGAGGAGGAGGAAGAGAAGGAGGAGGAGGAGGAGGAGGAGGAGGGGCTGGAGGAGGAGGAGGAGGAGGAGGAGCTGGAGGAGGAGGAGGAAGAGGAGCAGAAGGAGGAGCGACCCCCGCCCCATAGCAAATCTTCCTGCGGCATTTCGCAGGCCAGGTCGAGCTGTGCGAGCCTGGACCTCTGGAGTTCCAATATTCTTCGGGGCACGCGATCCCGACCTATCGACCACCTCCCTGGGACCAGTGTTCATCCCGAGCCGTTTTTAGATGGTCCCGAGGCCCAGTGAAGGCGCCGAGAGGCCCGAAACTGTGGAAAGCATCCGTCTCGACGTACAGTCGGGGCGTTGACCCAAGGAACCCGAAATAAGGAACGAAGCCCCTTTATCCTAGAAATTGAATTCAATTTCCCATGGAAAACCTCCGGAAAACCTCAGGCAAACTCCTAAACAATCAAAGAACACCGAGCCCCAACGAAAAGCGTTCCTTCTTCAGCGCCCCGACTGTATCGAACCGCCCATGATGTCCCAGAGGGCCCCGGGAGGCCCGAAACCAGGCGAGCACGCCCGGTGCGAACGAAAAGCGCAGCGCCCCGATCTCAGGGTTCGTCCGACGCGAGGCTCGGGCGGGTGGCAATAAGAGGTGACCAAACTGGGGGGTGAAGAAAAAGGTCCTAAAGGGGCCCTTTAGGGCCCCTTTTGGAACCAGCAGCCCTTTAGATGCCCAAAGGGCCCCTTTGGGAACTCCTTTCAGGTGCCCAAAAGGGGCTGCAAAGGACCCCTTGAGAACATCTTCCTTCACCCCCCATGTGGGTCACCCCCCATTGCCATTAGGTCGGGCATGTCCTCCCACAGGCAGATGGGAAAATAAAAATGGAAAATAGCCCCCAAAGAATCCGCTGGCCCCCTGGTGGGGCCACCAGGCTGTAGGGCGAAGGTTCGCAGTTTCCTGTACCAGTTCTTCCAGTTTCCACTGTTACAGTCCTGCTTCTTGCTGCATACTGTTCCTTGTTGATGGACCGCGCGAGGGGAGGCCCAAAACGAGTATTTTTACCACGCCCTGAGCGTGTGCTCTGAATTGCTGGGGTGAATAAAAATTTACACCCCTCACGCAGATCGGCGGGGTCAGGGTCCAAAAACACATGGGACGCGCCTCATTTCTGAAATTCGGTGGCACCCCTCACACAGATCGGCGGGGTCAGGGTCCAAAAACACGTGGGATTTGCCACATTTCTGAAATTTGCTGGCACCCCTCATGCAGATCGGCAGGGTCAGGGTCCAAAAACACAGGGGATGTGCCACATTTCTGATATTTGTGGCACCCCTCGCGCAGATTGGCGGGGTCAGGGCGAAAAAAAATATCAAAAGGATGTGCCACATGTCTGAAGTTCGGTGGCACCCCTCACGCAGATCGGCGGGGTCAGGGTCCAAAAACATATGGGATTTGCGACATGTCTGAAAATCGGCGGCACCCCTGACGCAGATCCGCAGGGTCAGGGTCCAAAAACACAAGGGATTTGCCACATGTCTGAAATTCGGCGGCACCCCTCAAGCAGATCGGCAGGGTCAGGGTCCAAAAACACAAAGGATTTGCCACATTTCTGAAAATCGGCAGCACCCCTCACGCAGATCCGCAGGGTCAGGGTCCAAAAACACAGGGGATGTGCCACATTTCTGAAATTCGGCGGCACCTCTCACGCAGATCCGTAGGGTCAGGGTCGAAAAACAAACAAGTCCCGACACTGCTTCACGGCAGCGCCCAAACCTCATGATTTAGCTTTTGCATCTCCCATTATCCTAGACAGGGGGACGGCGGCCATGGGGCGAAGCCCTTACGGATAATGAAAGAGAATCGAAAAATCGTCCCCAGGCTATCATGTAATTATTTTCGAATATATAAGGGACATGCACGACTTAACGTGACCACCCGCCCGAGATGCCAGCTCCCGGAGCCCCCCATGTGGGTCACCCCCTATGTCCGCCCGCCCGAGAGGTCTGGAGCTTGGGAAGGGGTGTGGCGCAAAGGGGTGTGGTGCCAATCGTGGAAATGGCGATGCTACTCGCCAGATCCAGCAGTGGCACCACACCACTTTACACCACACCTGCACGGTTTCCCTCGGAGTCGTAGGCGACCCGAGGAGGAGGAGGAGGAGGAGGAGGAGGAGGAGGAGGAGGAGGAGGAGGAGGACGAGGACGAGGAGGAGGAGGATGAGGAGGAAGAGGCGGAGGAGGAGGAGGAGGTGGTGGAGAAAGAGGAGGAAAAGGAAGAGGAGGAGGAGAAGGAAAAGGAGGAGGAGGAGGAAATGGAGGAGGAGGAGGAGGAGGAGGAGGAGGAGAAGGAAGGGTCGCCTGAGCCCTTCGGAGAAACCCTCCAACCACGCCCCTTTTCCTGCCTCTGGAGAGTTAAGCAGGGACCGACCGTCCCGGCAGTCCTGTAGTCCTACCACGAAATGTCTGAGAACCCAAACATGTTCTCAGAACACAAACAGTGTTCTTTAGACATAAGCCAAATGTGCCAAAACAAGACAGCCCCGGCTACAAATGTTCTAAGAATATGTCGTGGGAACCATCGTGGAAATGGCGATGCCACTCGCCAGATCCAGCATTGGCACCGCACCCATGTACACCACACCTGCACGGTTTTCCTGGGGCCGTAGGCGACCCGAGGAGGAGGCGAGACGAGACGAGACGAGAGCAATCGCGAAGCGATATCAAAGAAACTAGGCCGACCCCTCTGAACTCGACGAGCGCCGCGAGGAAGGGGAACGGCATGCACACGAACGTCACTGCTGCGGACAAGCGGCGTCATCTGAGGGAAAACCAATAGTCGGGACGCCCACGCCACGCTCCACCTGGTCTTCACACTCCCTCTCATTACACTCGTCCTCCACGGGCGGATCTCCAGGGACGAAACGTTCACGGAGAGGACCTTCTGCAAGTTCGACCTCCTCACGGGCCTCGTCCACGGGCGGGCCCTCAGCAGGAGCGAACCGCGTGCGGAGAAAATGATCCACTTCGTCCAGACGGCATCGCGACGCAAGAGTGATCAGTTCCGCACACGCCTCATCGAAGGTGTAGGGTTCCACGAGCACGGTGTTCGCGCAGAGGTAGTCCCGCACAGCCGTGCGGCAGCCCCTCAGGACACAAGCGACCATGTCCATGCAGAGCGTCCCGTGCCAGTCGCAGGCCTCGTACTCCTCACGCGCCGCGGCCTCGTCCTCGGAGCCGTCGAGAGAGTTATTGTCGGCGGGCTCGCAGTTAGACTGCGGGTCAAACAGGGCCCCCACGTCAGCGCCCATCGCCCCTGGAGCGGCATCGCCTGCGGCGCCCTCGGCAGGGCAGACATCCCCCGTAGGGGCCCTTCGTGCGGCCTCCCCCTGCACGCACCCGCAACGGGGCAGCGATCCCCCTTCAGGGGCCCCATCGGTCTCGGCGACCTCCTCCCGCACGACGATGCGTTCCAGCTGCTCCACCGCTTCCGCGAAGTCACACGAGGAAAAGACGACGGATCCACACCAACAGCGAAGCCCTTTCCACGCAGTCGCCGAGGCGGCCGTGTTGCCCTCGAGAGGCTCCCACACGCCAGCCGAAGGTGAGAACTCGGCCGCGTCCAGATTCCAGCAAAACGGCTCGATGTCCGCCTGCGCCCTGGCAGACGTGCCCTGGCGCCTCGCCTCGAGCCTCCCCGCGTGCTTTGGGCGTGGCTGAGCTCCGCCTTGCCAGCGGCGGCCAAAGACACACCTGAGGGGCCCTCAGAATGGAGAGCCACATTGCGCCGAGGGATGTCCAATGCGTCGGGGCGTTCACCAGCCAAGAGCGCCGTGAGGGCGGGGAGGATGCAGGCGACCCTCTCCGCCACCTCTGCATCGCCGAAGAGGTAGTCCATCACGGTCTCCAGCGCCAGGACCTTGCGGTCGGCCTCGCCCAACTTCACCTGCAGCTTCGCGACTAAACGGTCCGCGGCGTCCCGTGCTCCGCCAACACCGCGTAGTGGAGCTCGTGCCGCCGCTCGCTCCCGCGGACGACGCTGCCGCCGTGCTGCAGCAACGCTCAACGTGTCTTCCCGCCACACATGCGGGGCAGGTCCCGCAGCCACGCCAAGCACACACCCAGCACCCAGCGCCATGAGCTAGCACATAGAGCCAAAATGTTGGGGCGCGCGAGCCGGCTTGAGCCAAAATGGCTTGAGCCAAAATGGTTACGGAGACCCGACGAGGAGGAGGCGGAGGAGGAGGAGGAGGAGGAGGAGGCGGAGGGGAGGAGGACAAGCTAGGTGCGCTCGCGTCATATCCGACATCCTACCCCCCCTCCCTCCCATCCCTGACCATGGCGCAGATCCCCTCTCTACTCGCTCAGTCGGATGTCGAGCAGGGCAATGATCCCGAAAGGGTACGCGATGCATTGTAGACCACGGCATTGCATGGCGTAGAAGAGCACCGCACCGCAAAGCGTAGTATCAACCTGGGATTGCATTGCATGCCGTGGCATGGCACGGGAAATGACGCCAGCGCTGCAGCGGGAGCACAAGTCGAAACGAGCGGAAGCGCGGAAATGAGGCCAACGCTGCAGCGGGAGCACGATTCGGAACGAGCGGAAGCACGGAAATGAGGCCAGCGCTGCAGCGGGAGCACGATTCGGAACGAGCGGCGCCCGAAAATGAGGCCGGCGCCTCAGCGAGAGCAGCATTTTGAAAAAAATGCAGGCGAAAACCCAACTCCGGGGAAACCTGTGTGTAAAAAAACGGCACGCGGGGGGGGGGGTCGGCCACTTTCAAACCGTCATCAGGGGAAGAGGGAGAGTAGTATTCATATTGAGTAATTGTGGAGGATGAGGAGGAGGAGGAGGAGGAGGATGAGGAGGAGGAGGAGGAGGCGGAGCAGGAGGAGGAGGAGGAGGAGGACGACGAGGAGGACGAGGCAGAGGGGGAGAAGGACGAGGAGAAGGAGAAGGAGGGAACCATCGTGGAAATGGCGATGCTATTCGCCAGATCCAGCATTGGCACCGCACCCATTTACACCACACCTGCACGGTTTCTCCCGGGGCCGTAGGCGACCCGAGGAGGAAGAGGAGGAGGAGGAGGAGGAGGAGGAGGCGGAGGGGGAGGAGGAGGAGGAGGAGGCGGAGGAGGAAGAGGAGGAGGAGGAGGACGACGACGACGAGGAGGAGGAGGCGGAAGAAGAGGAGGAGGAGGGGTCGCCTAAGCCCTTCGGAGAAACCCTCCAACCACGCCCCTTTCCTGCCTCCGGAGAGAGGCCTGCTCCAGGAGCTCCTCCGGCCCGGCGGGGCGGGCGCCGGCCGCTGCGGCGCGGCCGCGCGCGGGGGCGCCGCCAGGGGCCGGCAGCGCCGCCAGCACGCAGGGCCAGTCCGGGGCGCTCCTCGCGGGCCAGGCGCGAGGGGCACGAAAGGATAGCGAGCGTTTTTGTAGATCTGGCACTTCGACACTGGGCGGAATGGGGGGGGGGTCTGGCTCCGAACCTCTGCTTAGTGCGACCGTTCGGAACCGTGCGCCCCATGGGGGTCAAAAACAGGCGCCAAAAACAGACAGGCCCCGTCAACAACCTCCACCCCCTCGAAACAGGTGCCAAAAACAGCCAAGATCCACTCCAGGGGGGGGGGAGGGGGGGGGGTCCAAGGGCCCGCGCCGATCGGCAAAACAATGAATAAAAAACGATCTCATACGCAGTCGACCCGTATAGTACAGTGGAAGCCAGTCCATAAGAATCCCTCCACGAGAAACCCGACCCCGAGACCCCAGGACGTCCATTGGTTTCTGGTCACGCTGTCCACAGCAAATCCATCGAAACGCAAGAAACCCCTTCTGAGAAGGCCTTCTCCTTCTCACCTCCCCCCTCGCTCGCCGCCGACCATTGCCTACCCTCCGACGTCGCATGTTGTTCTTGACGCGGGCCCCTGGGGATATCGCCTCTTCCCCAAGCGCTTTGCTGCCCCGCCCTTGGGAGGCGGCGCGCGGCCCCCCAGGGACCGACAACGCGGCGAAACCGCCGCCTCGGCCTGCATGCTCCGGCTACACCCGGGCATCTCCTGACGAGGGGCAACGGTAGGAGGGGACTGGATAAGGGGGGGGACGCATTGACCTGGAATCGGCGACACCTCGCCGATAGATCGACGGTAGGCTTCCGATCGTGAGTCCGCACGCTCCTGGGCCAGGTTGGGGCTATCGGGCCCTCGTCGGCGGTCAACGGGCGATTGTGGTCGATGCCTCCCCCCCTTTGCCCATCCCCCCCATATCGTTACCCCCGACCTGAGATCCCATGCCGCAAAAAAATGCAAACATGCGACCGAAGCCTCAGACACCCTCTTCCTGCGGCACGTCACAAGCTGGATCGATCTGCGAGGGCCCCGGTGCCCGAAGCATGGCGACGATCCCCTGTGCGAAGAGACTGCGCCGCCTGGGTCGGAAGGCCCGCCCCGATCCTTCCGGCTGGCAGGTCGGCCCACGCCCTGGTGGCGGCCAGCCGCAGCTCCCCGGCGCTGCACCCCGCGGTGAGCGCCGCCAGCGCGCCCCGCTCCCCCGGGCCCGGGTCTGGGTGCAGGTCGCCTCGGGGGCGTCCCATGTGGATAGGGCGTCCAATGGAGGGGGGGTCGCAGATCATGGCCCGAGACACGTGTGCGGACGAGGGGGGAACCCGGGGACGCACGGAAAGAAGGATCGGGGCTCAAGAGACGGGGGTCCATGCAAACGGGGGTCAGCCAGAGCGCCGGATCTTGCAAGATCCTGCGGGGCCAGGGGCGCACTGACCCGGGCTTGGGTGCAGGATGATGCAGGATCTTGCAGGATCCGTCGCATTGACCCGGGTTTGGGCGCAGGATCTTGCAGGATTGTGCAGGATCCTGCAAGGCCTGGCTGACCCGGGTCTGGATTGAACCCGGGCCAGCAGGTCCCCGAAAGGAGAGGGGGAGAGCTCATGGCCCCAGCCATGACATCCAGCCTGAAGTCGTGCCTGTCCCTCTACAGGAGGAATATTCCAAAATAGTCAAACAATTGTCTGGGGACCATTTCTTCCATCTTCTTTGAATCTGTTTTGAATAGTTGTGAATGCGTATTCTTTGTCATCCGTAGTCGGCCTGCAGGGGGACAGGCCCGGCTTGAATCCAGCCCTCCCTAACCATCACCCTCCTCTTGGCCGCCCCCGATCGCCGGCCGCGCCCGCGCCGCCCGGGGCCGCCGCGGCCACGAAGTGTCTCAGCAGCAGGAGCCGCTCCTGCAGGGGGGCGCCGGGGGGCCCTGAGACCCCGGGGCCGCAGCCTCTGCACGCCGGGCGCCGTCGCCGGGCCTCGGGCCCCGGCGCCCCCACACGGATTCGGTGGAGCTGGAGAGGTGCCGCGGAAGGAGGAGGAGGAGGAGGCGGCGGAGGATGAGCAGGAGGAGGAGGACGAGGAGGAGGACGAGGACGAAGACGAGGACGAGGAAGAGGAGGAGGAGGAGGAGGAGGTGTAAAGGCTTGGGAGGAGAAGGAGGAGGAGGAGGAGGGAGTCCATGTAGGGCTCCAGTCGGGAGCCCACGATGTCGCATGTGTGGCCGCGCGCGCGCTGCGCGCGCGCTCAGGTTCTAGCCGACTGTGCAGTCGTTGTCGGTAGACCTTGCGCTAACCCACGGACCTCAAGATGCCCAGGGAGAGGTTCCGCAGGCAAGGGCCGCCCTTGGCGCGTGGAGGTGCTGGGCCTTGTGGGAGATAGCCAGGGTTCAGTGGGCGGTCGCGGAGCCGTGCGAGATCGACGTGAAACACTTCAAAAAACTCCAAGTGCTTCCCAAACTACGCAAGTGACGCGACTGCCACGATGACCGAGGAAAGCCCCAGAGGCTCCAGGCCGCCAGGCCGTCGCCGCCGCCGCCGCCGCCCCCGCAGGCGACGCCGCCGCAGCCGCCGCCGCCGTCGCGATGATGTGATCGTCGCAGTGGTCGTCGTAATAATCGTGGTGGTAGTGGTCGTCGTCTGTGGACATGACCGGACGATTGCACGCTCTGGGGCGTGTTTCGCTTTCCCAAGGCCTCCGAGGGCCTCCGGACTCTGGAGACCTGTGGGGACTCCTGAAACTCCCGCAGGCCCCCACGAGAGCTCTGGAGGACAGCCTGGGAGGGCCCAAACGGGCGCCAAGGAAGTTCCCAGAGCGGCCCCAGAGCCCCAACAATTCAAGATATATGTACCACAACGCCGTCCTTGACGAGAAAGCGGTTTGTGTGTGAATAAATGTGTCTTGCATTTGGGGCCCTCTTGGGGCCGTCTCGGAGCTCTCTTGGGGCGTTTTGGGCGAGTCTAGGACCGTCTTGGGGTTCTATTGGGCCGTCTTGGGGCCCTATTGTGCCGTCTCGGGGCGGTCTTGGGGGCGTCTTGAGACGTCGTGGAGCGCCAGAAGCTCGAAAAGTCGAGACCTCCGAAAATCCACACAAAACCAAAGGAATATCGTTGGTTTGTGTCTCCTGCGGCCATCTGGGGAGCGCTCATCGAATCCTCTTGGGCCGTCTGGGGCATCTTGGGACGGAAGGCTAGAATTTATCGTTCCGGGCTCCTGCACTCTGGCCCCTCATGGGACCGTCTTGGAGCGTCTTGGGCGCCTCTAGGGCCGCTTGGGGCCCCCTTGCGCCGTCTTTGGGCAATCTTGGGGGCCTCTGGGCCCGTCTCGGGGCGGCCTTGGGGGCCTCTTGGGACGTCGTGGAGCGCCGGAAGCTGGAAAGGTCGAGAGCCCCGAAAACATTGACAACCCAATGGAAGATGTGTAGCTTTTGCCTCGTTGGACCCTCTGGGGAGCGCTTCCTCCTCCTGTCCTCGATCCGTGCTCCCATCGATCGTCGATCGTCCATCGCCGGCCCTACGACAAAGGCCGCCCCGAGGACGCGCATCCAATGCACGCGCACGTCTTTGCTCCGCTCCCGAGGTCCTGCTCCTCCAGGTGCCCGAGGGGGATCCAATGGTCCATGCGGCCCGGCCGAGTGATGCGCGGATCCAGGGCCTCCCGGGCAGTGCCGAGAGGAGCGCCGCCACCCCTTCCAGGAAGCGCCCGGCCCCCCAAGGTCGGGTGCTGCCAGAAGCGTCCCTGACCCAAGGTGCCCCCGGGATTGCCGAGGAGGCCTCCAGTATGGGGCCCCAAGGGTATACCACGTCCCTCATCCCCTCCCTCCTCTCACAGGAAATAGGAGAACAAGATGGGGGTGGAGGAGGGGGGGGAATGAATGGTGGTGGTGGTGGTGGTGGTGGTGGTGGTGGTGGTGGTGGTGGTGGTGGTGGTGGTGGTGGTGGTGGTGGTGGTGGTGGTGGTGGTGGTGGTGGGTGGTGGTGGTGGTGGTGGTGGTGGTGGTGGTGGTGGTGGTGGTGGTGGTGGTGGTGGTGGTGGTGGTGGTGGTGGTGGTGGTGGTGGTGGTGGTGGTGGTGGTGGTGGTGGTGGTGGTGGTGGGTGGTGGTGGAGGTGGTGGTGGTGGTGGTGGTGGTGGTGGTGGTGGTGGTGGTGGTGGTGGTGGTGGTGGTGGTGGTGGTGGTGGTGGTGGAGGTGGAGGTGGAGGTGATGGTGGTGGTGGTGTATGTTATTGGGGCCCGCATCCAGAGAACCCCTCACGAGGCCCTGAGGGCCCCAGGGGCTCCAGAACGGCGCGAAAAGCTGGGGGCCTCGGGCCAAGGGCACCTTTCGCAGCACCCGACCCTGGATTCCCCGGAGCCCCCAGGACTCTCACGGACGCCCAGAGCGTCCAGAGCCTCCTCCTTGCCTCCCCCCTCGTCGATTCCTAGGAGGAGGTGGCGACCGCCACCCCCCTGCTGGTGCCCATGGGTTCCGAGTGGATGGGGTCGGAGGATCGCCGATGCATCGCCGATGCATCGACCACGTCGGCGACGCATCAGCCAAGTCGACGCCGCACTAAGAAGGAGGGCGCTGACGCGCAACTTTTCGCGGGCGGCGTACGTCAATGTCAGTGAAGAAGACCCCGTTTTCCTCCGTTGCTCGCATCGAGCCGCGTCGCCGATGCATCGGCAATGCGGCGCGATCCTCCGACCCCATCTGGGAGGCCTAGACACTGGCGCTGCTCGAGCCTCTGCGGCCGCGCGCGAGGTGGCCACCACGCCGAGCCCGGGGCCCCCAGCCGCCCCGCCGGGGGCGTCGATGCCGTCGAGGCAGACCAGCAGGGTGGCCGCGAGGCGGTCGCGGAAGGCGTCTTGCGCGGCGGCGCCGTGGCACGGCTGGCGGCGCGCAGGAGGGGGGGTGATCCTGTGGCAACCCATGGGAGCCTCCCATTCCATCTTGCTGGCTCTGGCGAAGCGACGTCAAGCAGTGCTATCATCGACGCTGACTGGCGCTACATCGAGGCTAGTCGACGCTAGCTGAATCGGCGCTTTCTCATCGATCACCAGTGCGAGGCGGGGATCTATCCATATCCACCGCCTGGGAACCGACGTCCTGGTGCCCCAGCGGGCGGTGGATATGGATATAGTTCGGCCCCCAGGGGGCCCGAATATGTCCATATCCACCGCCTGCCGAGGCTCCGAAAACTAACCCTCCGGGCGGTGGTCATGTATCAATTCCCGCCTCGGAACCAGGCGCGAGCGCACGCTAACGCACTCTGCAGAGTGGAATTGCGAGGACATGCAAGGCTCCCACGGGGCTGCTACGGAGCAGTGATCCTCATGAAACGCGCGTGAGGGCCACCGTGTGCTCGTCCACCGAGGCCCTTCCACACGACGCGGGCGGTGCAGCGAGTCAGAGGCGACGACAGGGGCGAATAGCCTAGGGGAGAGCAATACATGTATCCCGGGGCGCCGATGATCCATGTCTTCGACAAGGCTCCCGGGCGAATACGCGTAATGCCCGCCCCTGGGCTATTCGCCCCTATCGTCGCCGCCGATCGAGGCCCGACACAGGCTGCGCGCTGCCGGCGGAGCCGAGAGGGGTAACGCGGACACGCTTGAGCTAACACACGTCCTGAGTCTGAGGACCATCGAGGGGGCTGCGTGGCGGAGGGGCGGGGTCTGTCGGCAGGGCCCAGGGGCTTCGCGGGGAGGGCTCGGGGGCTCCCGACCACGAGCGGCGAGCCTGTCCGCATCCGCGCCCTCACGGTCTGGCTTCCGTGGCACGACCTCACGGATACGCGGTCGCACGGATACGTTCCGCGCGTGGTCATCCGCGGGAACGCGCCCCGCATCGGGCGTTCACTAATGGGGGGGCGATAGATGGGGGGGGAAGAAAGGTGCACCTTTCGTGCACCTTTCGTACCCCTTCGGGGCCCTTCGGGGGCTCGTTTAGGGCCACTCTAGGGCTCCTTTCGTGCCCCCCCATTTATCGCCCCCCCATTACCGAACGCCCAACCGCATCCGAAGGGTCGCGGCCCGGGAGCCCGGCCCGCGAGGCCGCGGACACGGATGTGTTTGTCGCCCACGATGCGAGGAGAGCGTCCCCAGCGGGCCGGCGGGGGGGGGGAGGGACGCCCTGGCCAGACACGAGGAGGGGGCGACCTGGGAGTGGTCGGTGCTCTCCCTCGGGGGGGGAGGAGGAGGAGGAGGAGGAGGAGGAGAGGAGGAGGAGGAGGAGGAGGAGGAGGAGGAGGAGAGGAGGAGGAGGAGGAGGAGGAGGAGGAGGAGGAGGAGGAGGAGGAGGAGGAGAGGAGGAGGAGGAGGAGCAGCAGCAGCAGCAGCAGCAGCAGGAGGAGGAGGAGGAGGAGGAGGAGGAGGAGGGGGGAGGAGCAGGAGGAGGAGGAGGAGGAGGAGGAGGAGGATAGGAGGAGGAGGAGGAGGAGGAGGAGGGGGGAGGAGGAAGAGGAGGAGGAGGAGGAGAAGGGGGGAGGAGGAAGAGGGAGAGGGGGCGATCTGGGAGTGGTCGGGGCTCTCCCTCGGGGCGGGAGAGGCCCCTACCTTTCTGGTCTGGCCACGGTGCCACCCCGTGGGGGCGAACGGAACCCCCCTTTGGCAACATACTTGTCATTGAAATTCGCCCCAGAGGGCGCAGGCCCGGAAAAGCAGTGGCCGCATGGCCCTCGCGAGGACTGGCCAAGAGGCAGGCCGCGGATCGACCTACGGCCGGGGGGGGTCGGGCATGTCCTCCCACAGGCAGGTTGTAGAGGAATATGGAAAATATTGCTTTACATATATAGTCACAACAACATAGTCCCCAGACCATTTTGGAACTATTCTTGAATATTCCTCCTGTAGAGGGGCATGCCCGACTTAAGCTGAATCCTCAATAGCAGGCCCCCTGCCGTCCTAGAAGGCAGCCCCCTCGTCCCACTACTTTGGTGGCGAGCCTAGGGGGGGGGGAGTGAGAAAGGACAGGCTTTCTCAGAAGGCTCGGAAGTTCCCGGGCCTTCTGCGAAGTCTCTGTGCCTTCCCCGAAGACACAGAAAACACCTCTCGGGAGGCTGGAGCGCTCCTGAGAAGTCCCGCCGCTTTCCGAGAAGGCCTTCTCCTTCTCACTTTCACCCCTCGCTCGCCGCCGAACTGCTGGGGAAACCAAAGGGTGCCGATACCGCTACTCCCCCGGACCTCTCCCGGGGTGGGTTCTGACCAGGATTTCGAGGCGAAGCCAGCGGTGGCGACGAGGGACTCCAAGGAGGCCCAAGAAGGGAAAAACAAGGCGAGGGTGCACGGCTTCCCCCGGGGCCGCAGGCGACCCGAGGAGGAGGAGGAGGAGGAGGAGGAGGAGGAGGAGGAGGAGGAGGAGGAGGAGGAGGAGGAGGAGGAGGGGTGGCCTGAGCCCTCCGGAGAAACCCTCCAGGCGAGGGCAGCGGTATGGGCACTCACCTCTCCCCCTCTGAACAACCCCCCCCCCTGGGCTGCGCGCCGCCAGCATGGGCCGGGGACCAGCTCGTCGATGCCCTCCAGGAGCAGGAGCGCCCCGGCGGCGGCCGCCCCCTCCGCCGCGGCGGCGAAGGCGGCCCTCAAGCGCTCCTCGCTCTCCCCCAAGTACCTGTTCGGTGGCAACCCGTGCGATGCGACCACCGTTGCGGACAGCGTCCGGGCCTACTCAAGACCGGGTGGGCGAGGCCGTGGCCTCGGGAATATGGCGTGTCTGGGCAACATGCAATGCGAGACAAATTGGCAAAACAATAACGAGGAGGGACGGAGGGAGGATGGCAACCCATGTAGAGGTCAAAAAATCCACCCCGATAATAACCCCCCTCGCTCGCCGCCGATCCCAATTGGGGTCCGAGGGGTCGGAAGATTGCACCGCATCGCCGATGCATCGCATCGCCGATGCATCGCCGATCCATAAGAACCCCCTCGCATCGCCGATGCATCGGCGACGGTGCCGGCGATGCGTCGGCGATGCCAAGGCGACGTTGGTGATGCGCGTCGGCGCCGCCGGCGTGGAGAGAGGTCAAAAAAACCACCCCCATAATAACCAGCCCGACAAGCGAAGCCGTTTAGCGCACGCGCCCAAAGAAGGAATCGAACAGGGCAGGGCTGTGTAGTAAACGCCCAGGGCCGTTTAGTAAACGCCAAATTGTCCGGTCTGGGTGGCTTTTCCTCCCTTGACCATGGGAGCCTCCCATGCCATGTCGTCGGCTCTTGCCAATCGACGCCAAGCGGCGCTAGTCGACGCTAATCGGCGCTGAATCGGTGCTGATCCACGCTAGCCGAGGCGAAAACGGCGCTATCTCATCTCATCGACTCCCAGACGCTACTCGACGCCAATCGACGCCAAAGGCGGACTCTAGAGTGTATACGAAGCTCCCGTGATTTGCTACCGAGCATTATGTTGCTCCCATCGTACTTAAGGACAACATCCCAGAAAGAATTTCGAGCACCCAGAAAAAGTATCGAAACAGTGTCGAACGAGTATCGCCTCCCAGGGCCCAGCACGTGAAAACCCTCCAGTTTCGGTAGTGTCTTGGTGCTCGAACTTCTTTCGGAGCATCAAGGCTAAAGTAGGTTGGAACATCATGAGCCGAGCACCTGGACCACACCTCCCCGGGGCGCAGCCAGGTCGATCGCACGCGCGCCGGCACCTGGCAGGAGCGGTCAGCATCGAACCGACGAGTCGAATCGGATCGGAACGCGCACGGAGTGAGGCGCCGCATCGGCACGGAGTCGGAATAGGGAGGGGCCATCCGAGTCTTAGGTCGTGCGCGTCCCCCTACAGGCGGATTTTGGACGAAAAACAAAAAATACTCAAATAAAAATTCAAAGAATAGTCCCACGACTATGTTTTGACGATTTATCAATTTTCCTCCTGTAGAGGTACAGGCCCGACTTAAGCCGAGCCAGGCCGAGCAGCAACACAATGCACGCATCGGGCCGCATCGGACGGTCGGAGTTTGAGAATCGAGTCGCATCGGGGCGACCGAAATCGATGTCGGATCGGAACGATCGGATCGAGGTGGGCCTCGCCTGGGCACAGAGCCACTGCAGCACGAGGGTCTTGCCAGACCCGGGCGGGCCGTGCAGCAGCACGCGCGGCGGCCACGCGACGCCCATGGCCTTGAAGACACCTTGAGCATCGTTTATCCGACCCCCATCCCCAGCGGCGTGGCCTGGGTCCCACTGGCCGATTCACCCCCCTAGATGGGGATATGGGCCTTCGAGGGGTGTATCCCCTACTGGAGTGGTAATTTGGTGGGGGTCTCGAAGAGGGATGGGGATGGGAATGGGGATCGGTTAAACGATACCGACACCTGGATGCTGGTAGTAGTTCAGCACGTTCGCACGCAGATCGCCGAGGGCAGCGCCGGCGCCGATGACCACGGGCGGCGAGCCCCGCTCTCCCTCGTCGCCCGCCACGGCGGCCGCGGCGGCGGGGGGGGGGCCCAGGCCGAGGTCCTGCGAGGCCTCGGGCGCCGCACGATCTCCCCCATCGAACAGCTCACGAAGCGCAGCGGGCACCCTGGCGCGGGAAGCGCACAGCCCTAGGAGGGCGCACGAGGCGGGGAGCGACCTCAGCGGGCCGCACGCGTCCCGCAGCCAAGCGCTGGCACTGCCCGGGAACGGCCCGTCCAGGGCCCACAGGACCAGGAGGCGGCTCGACGACGACGCGGCGAGCGCACTTTCGACGAAGCCGGCGAGCAGGCGCCGCAGCGTGCGGCCGCCCGCGGGGCCGTGCTCGGGCAGCTCCCAGATCAGCTCGCCCAGCGGCAGGTGGGCGACGTCGCCAGAGCTGGCGGCCCCCAGCGCGCCCCTGTCGGCGGCACGCGAGAGCGCCCTTCTCATACAGTACGGGCCCGACCACAAGAAACACCTTCCGCAAGAAATCCAACCCTGAGACCCCAGGACGTCCATTGGTTTTGGGGGTGGGAAAGTCACGCTTCCCGCAGCAAAACCATGAATCCCAAGAAACCCAGGGCACCCTGGAGGCAAGCAGGGTGCTTCTTTGGAAGGAGAAGAGAAAAAACAACATTAACATAAACTTTTGGCGCTCCGCGCGGACTTCTTGGATCCGACCCCCCTCCCTGGCGCGCAGAGCGCGCCAGGGGCGGCGCCCGAGGCGCCGCGCGGAGCGCCAACAGTTTATGTTTATAGCGTGTTGTTCTTATTCGAAGGGTGCTTCTTGGCATGGGTCTCCACTGCAGGCAGGAGTGGCCATCTGGCGCGCGGGCCGCCGGCCGCCGCCGCGTGCCCTGTCGACGGGCGGCGGCCTGCGTGCCTGGACGTATATAACTGCCCCCCCCGCGTGCGCCCCGCGAGGGCCGCGCACCAGAGGCCACTCCGGCGAAGGGTCACCCCGTGCGCTTGGAACGAGCCGAGCGGGTCCCGATCGGCTGCTGACCCGGGCCAGTCCAGACCCTGGTCAGTCATCGACAGGCGCGTTGCACTACTCGCCAAGCAGCTACTCGCAAATGGCCTGAATCTGCCGCGGCGGATTTCTGCTCTGTTACATAAGTGGAAGGCATGTGCTTTCGGACGTTTGCGAGTAGGCACTTTGCGAGCAGTGGAACGCACTCGGTGAAGTCAGGCCATTCAGGATCCTGCAAAATCCTGCACCCAAATCCGGGCCCACGCGCAGGATCCTGCAAGATCCTGGAGGATCCTGCACCTAAGCCCGGGTCAGTGCACCCCTGGCCCTGCAGGACCCTGCAAGATCGGGCCCTCTGGCTGACCCCCCTTTGCATTGACCCCCGTCTCGGGGCTCCCGACCCCAGGCAAGCGGATCCTGGGCTCCGGGCCCCTCCTCCGGGACCGCAAGCGCGTTCCACAACTCGCAAAGTAACTGCTCGCAAACGGCCCGGATCCGCCGCGGGGGCTCTACGACCCATTACATAGAAAGGAAAATGCTCTTTTTGTTGGTCCCCGGACGTTGGCGAGTAGGCACTTTGCGAGTAGTGGAACGCGCTCGGTGATCCAGGACCACATGGTGGCTCGGTGTGCGACGGCCCCGGGGCCGGTGGAGGGCCCCGAGAGCCCGGAAACGGCCCAACACCTCGGGGCCCGTGCGCTTCATGACGACCGATCCTGAGGCTCCCCAGGAAGGCTGGCATGCTGCCCGCTCGCGGGGCGCCCTCGCACAGGACCCGCGCGGCCCCACGCCGGCCCCCCGCCGCGAGGCCAGGGGCGTCGAGCAGCCCGAGGCAGGTGGCCACGGCAGCGTCTATGCCTGGAGGCGCCCCGGCGGCCAGCGGCGGCAGCGCCTGGACCAGGCCCATCCCGGTCGGCCTGCAAACCGCGCTGGCTGGCAGTGCGCACAAAGGGGGCGGCGCGAAGGGGGCCGCGGCAGGTCCGTGTCGTGCCGACTTCGGCGTCTTGGTTCCTTACACCGCGGGGATCCTCCGTTTCCGAAAGGCCAGCTCGTTCCGCATCGGCCGATTCTGGGTCGCCGGCGGCGTTCAACGTTGAACTAGAGGAAGACAAGCCACAGAAACATAAACTTCTGGCGCTCCGCGCGGACTTCTTGCATTCGCGCCGGACCCCCAGGGCCCAGGCGCGGATCCAAGAAATCCGCGCGGAGCGCCAAAAGTTTATGTTCATGTGGTTCTTCTATGAACGCCGGCGGTGGGGTTTCTGCCTGTCGACACGACGCGGACCTGCCGTAGAGGCCTCCCAGAAGGGGTCGGAGTGGGTGGGGTCGGAGGATCGCGCCCGAGACATGCGACGTCCTGCTTTTTTCAATACGGGGTTCCTGGAAGTCTAAAACGACGCGAAGATCGGGACAAAATCGGATCGGGATAACTCGAAATCTCTGAGAATCGGCGGGTTTGGAGGATGTATTGGGCGCCGCGGCCGCTCCAGAGCGTTCCGGAACCCTCTGAGAGCACTCCGGAACGCTGTGGAGCGATTTATCCCGATCCTAGCCCTGTTTTAAAGTCCCGACCCTTTCCCCGGGTCCGGTTTTTCATCCTGAGTCGTTTTTTGACGGTCCCGAGGCCCAGCGAGGGCCCCCTGAGGCCGAAATTGGCCAAGAACTTCCCGTCCTGATTTTTTCACGACGCGATCTTGTCTGGGGCGGCATCGCCGATGCATCGTCCATGCACCGCGACGTCGGCGGCGCATCGTCGACGTCGGCGTGGCGAAAGTCGGGATCCACATCGAGCCGCATCGCCGAGCCTCCGACCCCCGCCTGCTCGGACCCCGTCTGGAGGCCAAATTGTAGGTCGGGCATATCCTCCTTCAGGCAGATTTTGGACGACAGATAAAAAGTACTCCAAAAATATTACAAATAAAAAATTGACCCCGGACTATTTCCCTACCTAGGCTCTGCCTAGAAGGGTTCTTACTCTCTTAGCTTAAAGGGGCCGGGCAATGGAAATCGCCCCGGGCGGTTCCCCCAGTCCCCGCCCCGCGGTTCCCCCAGTCGCGCCCCCTTAGCTTGGCTTAGCTTATCTCGTCTTAGCTTAGCGTTAGCTTAGCTTTAGCTTAGCTTTAGCCCAGCTTTAGCTTACCTGCAGCTTAGCTTTAGCTCAGCTTTAGCTTAGCTTCAGCTTAGCTTTATGTTAGATTTAGCTTAGCGTTAGCTTAGATTTAGCTTAGCTTTAGCTTAGCTTTAGCTTAGCTTTAGCTTAGATTTAGCTTAGCTTTAGCTTAGCTTTAGCTTAGCTTTAGCCCAGCTTTAGCTTAGCTTTAGCTTAGCTTTAGCTTACCTGCAGCTTACCTGCAGCTTACCTGCAGCTTAGCTTCAGCTCAGATTTAGTTAGCTTTAGCCTAACTTTAGCGTAGCTATAGCTTAGCTTTAGCTTAGCTTTACCTTAGCTTTAGCGTAGCTTCAGCGTAGCTTCAGCTTAACTTTAGCTTAGCTTTAGCTTAGCTTTAGCTTAGTTTTGACTTAGCTTTAGCTTAGCTTTAGCTTAGCTTTACTGTTACTTCTAATGCTGCTTTCCTAGGGGCTCCAACTCCTAGGTAGGGTCGCACTGGGATAATGTTTTACTATTTTTGAATACTCCTCCTGTAGAGGGACATGCCCGACTTAAGCCTGATCAGAAGGGCCGCCTCCTAAGAAAGCGGGCAGGCTGCCAAGAAGGCGAGTGCCTTCCTGGAAGCGCCTGGACGCCTCCAAGGCTCCTTACGGGCCGCGAGGGCTTCTGAAGAAATTGTAATTTCTGGTACCGGCCGTCATCCGCGGGGGGGGGGGGGACCACTGGGACCCCGGGCAACGGTAACGCGCGGGCGAGGTGGGGCACGTCGGGGCGGTGGTGCGCTGCGATGGCCACGGTACGCGCGCGAGCGACCACTAGCATGTGGAGGGGGGGTGCTGCGTGTTTTCGTACATGCCCAGATTTGCTGCGAAGCGGCTCCAGGTGGCGCTTCCCAAGAAGTGCCCCAAGAGGCCCCCAAGCGGAGCCCAACAGGCTCCCAAGAGAGCCGCAAGAAGGGATCCAGAGCGTCAGCATCGTCGCCGCCGCCGCCGTCCCCCTTCGGGGTCGGCGGCACCAGCCGTAAGCCGGTGCTCGCGGGCGGTGGCCCGCCCCCCAAAAAGCACGCTGCTTACCTGATGGGCCTGTCTTCCACCACCACCACCACCATAAGTTGGAGGGGTAAGGAGGTGGAGGACGAGGAGGAGGAGGACGAAGAGGAGGAGGAAGAGGAGGAGGAGGAGGAGGAGGAGGAGGAGGAGGAGGACCTCCTCCCCCCTCCAACTTCTGGTGGTGGTGGTGGAAAACAGGCCCATCATTACCGTTACCCAGGGGCGGGAGGGGCGGGGGGCCCGTGTGGCGACCGCCGCGCGCCAGAGGATACAGAAAAAAGAACATCTCGCGAAGGCCGCCGTCCCCCCCCCGCCCCTCGCGCCGCCCCCTGCGTGCGCACCGCCAGAAGCCGGGGGCCGCTCCGCCGCCGCCCTCCTAGAGGCCTTCCAGATGGGTTTGGAATATAGATGGGGCCCGAGGATCGCGCCGCATCGCCGATACATCGCCGATGCATCGGCGATGCATCGGCGATGCACTGGCGATGCACCAGCGATGCACCTGCGATGCACCGGCGACATCGCCGTTGGGAAAATCGGGCTCCGCAGCGAGCCGCATCGCCGATGCGTCGGCGATGCAGCGCGATCCTCCGACCCCGTCTGCACCGACCCCGTCTGGGAGGCCCAGACCTCCACGCCGACCACCCGGAAGGCGCACACCCGCCCGGCCACCCGGGCCGCGAAGGCTTAGGTCGGGCATGTCCCCCTACAGGTGGATTTTGGACGGAAACTAATAAAATAGTCAAAAAATACTAAACCATGATCTATATCAGCCAGCGTTGGCTCCAAATAGATGAGACGACTCAAATCGAGGAATCAAAGAAATGAAGCATGCTTGGAATCCGCAACTCAACAAGCAAGCAAGCGTGCAAGCAAGCGCGCAAGCAAGCAAGCAAGCAAGCAAGCAAGCAAGCAAGCAAGCAAGCAGGCAGGCAAGCAAGCAAGCAAGCAAGCAAGCAAGCAAGCAAGCAAGCGAGCAAGCAAGCAGACATAGGCATAGGCGTAGGCATAGGAGTTAGGGCGGAGGCATAGGCATAGGCATAGCCATAGCCATAGGAATTGGGGGGGCAAAGAAATTCGGGGGGGGGGGGGGGGCAACGGACCAATTAGTAAGGTTTGAGCTGGGACTCCTATGGGCAAGCCTGTTTGGAGAAAAATAATCGAAGAATCGTCCCCATACTATTCTTTGACATTCTTGACTGTTCCTCCTGCAGAGGGACGGGCCCGACTTAAGCGAAGGCCGCCCCCGGCACGGGGCGCACGCCAGCGCGCGCCGCCTGCCGGCGGGCCGCCGCGAGCAGCCCGGGGCGCGACAGCACCAGGAGGGGCCCGAGGGCCGGGCCTGCCCGTGGGGGGGAGGAGGAGGAGGAGGAGGAGGAGGAGGAGGAGGAGGAGGAGGAGGAGGAGGAGGAGGAGGAGGAGGAGGAGGAGGAGGAGGAGGAAGGAGGAGGAGAGGAGGAGGAGGAGGAGGAGAGGAGGGAGGGGGAGGAGGAGGAGGAGGAGGAGGAGGAGAGGAGGAGGAGGAGGAAGGAGGAGGAGGAGGAGGAGGAGGAGCGGGAGGAGGGAGGCGGGAGGAGGGAGGAGGAGGAGGAGGAGGAGGAGGAGGGAAGGAGGAGGAGGAGGCGGAGGAGGCGGAGGAGGCAGAGGAGGCGGAGGAGGAGGAGGAGGAGGAGGAGGAGGAGGAGGAGGAGGAGGAGGAGGAGGGGGAGGGGGAGGGGAAGGGGGAGGAGGAGAAGGGGGAGCAGGAGGAGGAGGAGGGGGAGGAGGGCAAGCTAGGTGCGCTCGCGTCACATCTGACATCCTACCCCTCCCTCCCATCCTTTACCGTGGCGCAGATCCCCTCTCTACTCGCACAGTCGGATGTCGAGCAGGGCAATGATCCCGAAAGGGTACGCGATGCATTGTAGAGCACGGCATGGCATGGCGTAGAAGAGCACCGCGAAGCGTAGTATCAACCTAGCATTGCATTGCATGCCGTGGCATGGCACGGGAAATGACGCCAGCGCTGCAGCGGGAGCACGAGTCGAAACGAGCGGAAGCGCGGAAATGAGGCCAACGCTGCAGCGGGAGCACGATTCGGAACGAGCGGAAGCACGCCGGAATCGGCCCGGGAGGCTTCCCGGGCGCCAGAAGCAAAATTCAGCATTTTCAACAGAAAAATGTGTATTGGAATGGCCTTTTTTCGGCGCCGCCTCGGAACTCGATTTTCCGGCGCCGGCCGGAACCGGCTCCGGACCTGGCCGGAGCGACGGCCCGGGCGCCGGCCCGGGCGTGCAGCCCGGGCGCCGGCGGAAATGGTGCCAGCGCTGCAGCGGGAGCACGATTCGAAACGAGCGGGGCCCGAAAACGAGGCCGGCGCCTCAGCGAGAGCAGCATTTTGGAAAAAAATGCGGGCGAAAACCCAACTCCGGGGAAACCTGTGTGTAAAAAAACAGTACGCGGGGGGAGGTCGAATACTCCCAAGCCGTCATCAGGGGAAGAGGGAGAGTAGTATTCATATTGAGTAATTGTAGAGGGGGAGGGTTAGGGGAGGGGTAGGGGGATGGGAGAGGAGCCCGAGGGGCGGAGGGGGAGGGGGAGAGGGGGAAGGGGGGGAGGGGAGCCCGAGGCCGGGCCTGCCCGTGGATCTGGAGTCGGGGGCGGCGAGCGGGGGGGAAGAGTGAGAAGGGGCGGGCCTTCTCAGAAGGCTCGGGAGTCCCCCGGCCTTCTGAAAAATGTTCCAAGCCTTCCCCGAAGACACAGGAAACTTCGAACTCGGAAGACGCGATGGGCTTCTGAGGAGTCCCGCCGCCTTCTGAGAAGACATGATCCTTCTCATTTCCCCCCCTCGCTCGCCGCCGATGGA